CCCAGAACAGGCAAATGGAACAAACAAACGCCATACTCGCTGGCTTCAAAGACATTTTTAAAGATTTAGTATCAAAATAATTGTCACCTTATCTAATCTTTTATGTTCTGCTATTGAAATATGCTTGGACTGATTACAATTATATCAGAAGAAAGAATTTTTTTGCTTCAAGCTGACTAGTTTCTTTACAAATTATCACGCACGTAGGCTTTAAGCGCTTCTCTAATGTCATTTCCGGTTTCAACACCAATTCTTCCATCATTGTCGTCGTCAGAACTGTCATCTGAATCGTTGCTATCCGTGTCATATAGGTCACCCCTTTCAATACAAATGTTGTGCAAAATGCACGCAGCAATCAAAGTCTTTTTTAGGGTGCTCGTTTTTTGTTCAACCTTTTTCAACGCAATTCTCCAACAAGCTTTCAACGTGCCAAATGCTCTTTCCACTACAGAGCGTAGCGCACTGAACTTTATGTTTAACTTTCTCTGCTCAGGAGTCAGGCGTCCTCTGTCCGGGTAGGGCTTTACTAGCCAGTTCGTTAGTGGATAGGCACTGTCGCCTGCTAGGAGAGGCCTTACTTCTGTTCCATTTATATTGCAGGTTGGACCGCTAAGAATTTGCTTGTTCTCTGCTAGTTCATAAAGACCACTTAGCCTAAGAACTCGCGCATCGTGTATACTGCCAGGATAACCTACTGTAGCATGTATAAATTTTAAATTTGAATCGACTATTCCTTTGAGATTCACACTGTAATGCTGCTTTCGATTAAAATAATCTTCATGATTGTCTGGTGGGGCATTTATTTCTACGTGACATCCATCGATTGCTCCCATTATTTGTGGTATTCCATACGACTCTTCCATTTTATTCCTGATTTCCTGAATCGTTAGAGGGAATTTTATAAAGCGGTCTTTCAAAGTAAAAACAGCTTGCTCGAACTCGCTACAAATACTCTTCGCTGTTGATTTTCCAAGGCCAAATTGCAATCCACAACTTCTATAGCTGTTACCTGTTGCCAGTCGCCACAGTGCAAGACCAACTCTTTCTTCCACGCTGACCGGAGATCTAAACCTCGTATGCTGCTTTTGTAAGTCCACCCTCACAAGATCACATAAGTACTCAAAGGTTTCGCGTGTCACTCTAAAATGTTCCTTCCAAAGAAAATTGAGTGCTGGATTTGCTAACAAAGTATGGAACTAGTTTTGTGGACGTGGCCAAAGCCAAGCTCTTCTTCGTCTACGTTGCGTGTTTTGTTGATTCATTTGATTGAAAAACATCAACATAGCCCGGCGTTGGTTTCTCCGTCTTATTCTACATCCTTCCTCTACAACGAGAAAGCAACAGGCTTGGTGAAGTAGCATAGCCCGCTGTCGATGTTGTAAAAAAATATTAACCAAACAAGGAAAGCAGTTTTCACCTTTTGAGGTTGCATGATGCAAGATAGCTAGAAGCTAAAATCTTTGGCGCACTCAAGCACATGGCTGCATAGTTGGCGCGGAAATTGATTGACGGCTCTGTCACTTGAAGTATACTTAGAATTTNCTTATTCTACATTCTTCCTCTACAACGAGAAAGCGATAGGCTTGGTGAAGTAGCATAGCCCGCTGTCGATGTTGTAAAAAAATATTAACCAAACAAGGAAAGCAATTTTCACCTTTTGAGGTTGCATGATGCAAGATAGCTAGAAGCTAAAATCTTTGGCGCACTCAAGCACATGGCTGCATAGTTGGCGCGGAAATTGATTGACGGCTCTGTCACTTGAAGTATACTTAGAATTTGAAATATGAACGCTTATCTGGGTAAGTACACATACGTGTTCTTAAGTATACTTCAACTCCCGGCATACTTAGGGTCTACTTACTTAGCTAGTATGAACCCACCTATTTTCAGTCTCTAACAAGAATGAACTTATAATGATTCGCTTCTGATTGAGACTTATTTATCTTTACGATTTTTTTTAATGTATTAATACTATCATTATTTGTTATTCTTTCATTTAAGGTTTAATAAAATAAGCAGAATTTATATTGTTTTTTAACCAACATTGCTGTTTTTCAGCATTGCAGCCTAAACTGGCTACACATCCATCTATTACTTGTGAACGAAAGTTAATAGGCTGCACCACCTCTTGTGGGGGCTTAGATGTTGCATCAAGACTAAAGATTAACAGTAGTAGACTGTGGGCATACAAGACGTGTGTGATGGTTGTGCCGTCTGAACAACACTACAGGGCGTTTCTGCTGATACGTTGGGTGGCGGAAAGGAAACAGGAGTTTCGTAGGTAGAAAATTCATTTGCTACTGGAACCAACCTAATCTAAAGGGCGATAACAGCTCCACTTTGTAGTTAAAACAAGGTTTCTCCTACCTACCAAAAACTGGCTGATGCCTCCTTCTTGACAGCCCTACGGAGTCCCAGCTTCATCCCATTTTTGTAGTCTACCATTCCCTTTTTAAGAAGCTCATTACGTGCCATGATTTTGGCAAAAGGTACAAAATCATAGCCTTTTTAAACTGTTTTTCTGTCACACACGATTCTCACTTCAAACACTTCTCAAAATGACGAAAAAACGTCTGAGTTCCAGCTCACTCCTGTCCCTGGATTAATCTCTAAAAACACGGTTAATTTGTTTTCTTGCCCTTCTTGGATTTTTGCTGGCACACTAGTAGACATTGTAGTTTGTCTGGTTGACTGCTGTTGTTCTAGCGGTAACAAACTTTATTATACCACCTACAGTTACATCTCTTGCCTCCATAATAAATATATAAGATGAAATTAGTAGAAATAAATTTATAAACATAACTTGAAATTGAATTGAATGCATTTACCGATAATAAGCAACAAGTTTGGTTCATTGCTAAAGATATTGCTGAATTATTAGGATTTATAAATAAAGAACAAACAATCAGAATAGATGTTGATGAAGATAATCAAAAACCCTACCCGCTATACCGTAGCGTTAAGGTCCGGTATGTAAAAATAGAAAATGAACATGGTTTTTATAAATTGTTAGCAAAATCTAAATCAGATTCAATAAAACGATTTCAAAAATGGGTTTCTCAAATTAAATCTCAAATGCTAATAAAAAGTTGGAAGAAGGGTTAAACCGAGACAAGTGTTTCAAAGAAAGCAAAAAGGACGGTAGGGAAGGAGGGAGGGTTAAGAGAGCAAATATCAGTGTCCTGTGATTTTGGAAAAGAAAATCCAGTGTAGTTATCCAAAAGTTATGTACATATAATATTTCCTTTCTTTTTACTTTCATTAGGGGAACATCACATCAGCTTCCATTCCCTTGCTTGTGCCGGACAAAGAGAAGACTCGGTTGACACCTTGTTGGAAGTCCCCGACAGCCAGGACAATTTGTACCATGCCTTTATACAAGTGTGGGACAAAGTTTTAAGTGGAACCGTCAAGATGCACATGCAAACCTTAGGGCTTAATTTAGTGCGATGTCCCACTACCACGCTTGATATTGTCAGAAAGGGTAGGCCACAACTGTGTAATTATTATGTCACCACCAAACACGCTGAAAAAACAAAAGTAGCAGGTGTTTTGACCTAGGCAATGTTTATTCATGCGCCAGTTACCTGCCAAAAGCTAGTCAAGACCTTTTATTCATAGATTTCAGTCAAAGGACAGAGAACCAGTCACTTGCATTGCCTTTCGGCAATGTAACCAGTCCAAATCTGCCTACGAAAGAAAATTTATCTACCCTCTGCTACGCTTGGGACAATGGCTGCTCAGATTTGGTGGTATTCTGAAACAACTGGGCAAGTTAGTCGGCCAATTGGCGATTAATAGAAATGGACGAAGAGTTGAAAGATGAACAGCAATGACGACAACAAGAACAAGTAGAAGCAGACGACAATGATGATGAAGAGGAAAACCAAGATGAAGGAGATGTAAAAGAAGACAAAGAACAAGAGGAAACACAGAAAGAAACAGAGAAACAAGTAAAAAGGGAGTAGATGAAGAAGTAGCCGTGGAAGAGAGCGAGGATGACAGAGAGAATGCGAGTTTTGATCCTGGCGAATCATGTGCCAATGTGAGGCTAAAGGAGGTAGAAAATATCTTACAAATTTAAGAACTACTTTGCATTTCATTCACGTGGGTCATGGGGGAAATCAAAGCGATGAAAACCTTTTATACTAGCTAGTTTAATCTAGTTTAATCACAAGAACCACTTTGGCAAAATGACACTGATGACTTGGCTAAGACTTGTAAAACATCTTGTCACTTTCCTGACTTTTGGCATAAGTAAGTTCGAAGCGAAGCCCTTGTTAGCCATGGTATAACACCTCCTGCTAGTAGAATCTTTCATTGGCCACTTGCATAAAGACAGGGCATTGCCACCTGCTATATTCAATCTTTGGTGACCACTTCAAATTTCCTTCATGAAGATGAAAGGTGTGGGGACTACCAAGATTACTCTCTCTCTCTTGCGGCCTTCACCCGCTCAGACGGCAACTGGACAGAGCAAAAGTCGTCACAAATAGAATGCTGGACATCAGAGTTTTATGGCCTCAGTACCAAGAGTTGGTTAGAAACCTCCACTGCCAGTACCAGGACGCTCCTGCCCATGCTGCAATCAAGGCCCGCCTGCATATGGATTTTACGATGCTTCTTCTTTTTGCTGTCACTCTAGGTCGAGGGAGAGAACTGAGAACTCTATGTTTGCTGATGGAAATGCCAGAAGGCAGAGTTCAGACGCTTGCCCGAAGGCGTCAATGTAGTAGTCATCTCAGACAATCGCCCGCTCTAGCTAGTTGAGATGGGCTACAACACCACCGCAAAATATGGCCCAAACGTTGTGCAGTTTGACCAAGAGTTTGATTTCCTGACAAAAAACCTCAGGGAACACAGGACAAGGTCGAGACCAAGACTGCTTTGCAGATATAGCAGTCACAACCACTTCTTTGTGAACAAACGCGGCACGCCTTTCCGATCATCAAGCTCATTTTCTACCTACCTATCAACCATTTTCAAGAGAAACTTGGGCTTGTCCTAGGCTGGGATAAACAAAGTAAGACATGCCCTCATGGAGCATTTTGCGCGCTCTGAGGGCAATTAGACAGAGTAAAAGTCGTCACAAATAGCATGCTAGACATCAGACTTTTATGGCCTCAGTACCAAGATCTGGTTAGAGACCTTCTCTGCTATGGAGCACCAAATGTAAAAATATTTCGGCAATATTTTGCCAATTTTTGTGATATGTAACAAATAGCACAAGAGTTGTCTTGCAATTTGTAAAAAAAATTTCTACATAAAACACAACTTTTCTTTTTTTCGGCAAATCTTCTTGAATGTTTTTTAAGCTCGGAAAAAGTATTGATGTGAAAATTGGGCAGCTCATCAAGAAAGTCACTGGTAACTGTATCATCTTCGCACCTCGAAGCCATTTTGTGAGTGAAATTTCAAAAGAACCAGCCACGTGCCAGAGCGAGAAGCTCTCTTGTAATTGGCTAATCATGTTAGTAACCATGGCAACACCAATATCCTCACACGTGAAAGATAACTTTCAGTATTTGCAATCATTTTCACTACCTTTTGAGTCACTGCAAGTACTATTATCTCCATATCTCTCCTCACTACTGTCATAGAGAAAAGCAGCATCCTTAAGGTTGTTACATTCTCCAGCAACCTTTCTATCCTCAGATTTTTGTTTGGAAAATATCAAATAGGGATTTTTGCCCTTTATATTATTTCTTACTCCCAGTACCTATAGAATGATAAGACTACACTCTTCTATATTTATGAAAATACTTATTCTCTAATAAGTACTTCAGGGGCTCATAAAGCGTTCTGGGAGTCAGGGTCTTCGTATTTAATGCTGCAAGTTCTGCCTTTCATATTTTAGATGGATTGGAAAAATTGGGTGGGGTCTTCTCCAGCCCACCCCTATGTTTAATTAATGAATGGTCCCTAAATAGAAAGAAAGCCTAATCCATCACAAAGAGCAAATGTCATTACCCAGTAATTATATCCTACAATCGAATAGTAACCATGTGTCCTCCACTCCAGATTCTCGTGTCGTTTCCCTTTGCCAGCTGCTGTCGCAAGATTCCACCTTCCGCAGCCAAACGAAGAGAGTGGCAGCCTCGGTGAGACCGAAAATCATTTCAAAACTGCGATTTGTGTTCCACCTGTCAAAAAGACATTAGAACATATTCCAATACCAAAGAGAGAACAGCAAGCACACCTGCAAGAACCAGGGTTGGTCGGGAAAGTGCGCCTAATTCGAACTGGAAAGCTAACGAAGTCGAATCAGAGATCGGGAGCCTTTTTGCTCCCTCTTTTGGACTTTATAAAAACGACCCCTTTCCATTCGTCTATCTTAGGGAACTCTTAAAGTGTAGTTAGTAAGGAAGGCTGATAATTAATGTCAATGAGTGTCACTCTCTTTTCCTTTTTGGAGTGTATCACGAATCAAAACTGGGTTTACTTTGGTTCTCCAATAGTACAATGCCAGGGACAAAGAAACTTTGTATTCTAAAAGCGTCTTCATCATGTGTGTGGGACGCTAGGGAAGTTCTCTCCGTGTGTTCCAGAGACACTTTATACATCATGGCAAAAATGTAACCCCTGAGGTCATTGAAACGAAATTGCTCAATGGCAGGTAGCAGCTGTATTAGTATCAAACACGGTTTAGAACTTACTTGGACTTTAAGGTCGCAGAGGTGTACTGAAGTTGGCACAACGATCACAAGCGGGTTCTACCGTGAATTCGTAGTGTATCACTCTCTTTATTACTCTGCTCCTACTCATCTACCAACCATTGTTCTCAGCTATTATAACCAGTAGATTTCATTCAGTCTTCTTCTTTTGGAACTTTCGGTTATTTTCATTTTTAACTCCGATAACCTTCAGGGATGTACTATTCTTTAGTACGGGAAAAATTATCGTTTGGATAGGAAAATTGTTGTCATTATCTTTAACATCATAGTTTAAGGGCATGTTGCTGATAATTCATCCACTCAAACTTTTCGCTTCAATAGGGACTATCCGACAAGGAAGACGAAGACAGTAGCCTGATGCATGTGAAAAAGAAAATGTAATGTTCCCCACTGAGAACTTCTATAATCTATTTGCCTGTTTTCGGTTTTTAAGGTTGTATATGTCGTTAGTGGACAAAGAGATCGATGTGATTTCTGACGACGAGGAGGACAGTGGGGCCAGTGATGCAAAGGAACCACCGATACTTGATAGTCTAATCAAAATTCAAAAGAAAGTAGTGCGAGATGTAACTTTTTCATCGTACACTGAATCATCAAAGCCGCTCTATCAAAAATTGGAGATCCTTAATGGTAAATAATTACATAATCAGCAAACTATCCTTTTTATGGTTGACCTATTTAATAATAAGTTGCTGTATAATTTTACATTTTTTTTACATTTTGAATAGTCAACTTCATTTGTATGCTACACCTCCCAGCCTGCTCTTCAGGCTGGGAGGAAGGCCTCCAGCACATCTGCAGGTGCATGTGAGGTTTCTACCCACGCCAGCAGAGAGCCCAGCTTTATTCCCTCCGCTTATTTCACTTGTATGCATGATTTACCAGCCCTCAACCTTCAAACCAACACAGCTCCTAAAGTGGGCTAGTAAGCTTATTTCATTTTTTGAATCATAATGTTCCTTTCTTAGCTGGGCCATGGTTGCACGCAAGGATCACGGTGCCTAACGTCTTCTTCCCTCATTGCTAGAAGAAGGGTCTCCTCCTCTTTCTGTGGGTAGAAACTGGAATGGTACATGCAGGCGGATGCACATTTCTTTTCCACGCTAGCTGAGGGCCCAGGTTTGTCCACCTTGCTTATCTCTCATCTGTAATTACTTTCATGCAATGCCTGGCAAGTTGGTTCTGTCGAGTTCCTTTCCCGAGAACACACATTGTGTTATCTGCTGAGGGTAAACAGCATTTGGATTATAAGTTGAGTTTAAATTAGACCGCACGTTTCATTGTCTTTTACAGTAATGAGAGATGGGCAACCGAAATAGAAAAAAAGAAATCCATAAAATGCTACCAGCAAGACATGGCACAGCTGGAAAAATATATTTTGTCAAAGTGTTTGGTGGGCCTTGGTCAATGCTGTAGAAAAATGGGTTCACGAGGTGTGCCTTCTTCAGTGGTTTGTTCATGCCAAGGGACTGATACTAGTTGCCCGCATTCCAAGCAAACTATTTTACCTTAAATCTTACTGCAGGCCCTCCTCAGTACATTCCATTAGGGTTCTTTGCCTTTCAATTTACCCATGTCCACTTAGCGCCACTACAGCTGAGATTGGAGGACATCAAATAGCACTTTCTCAATCCAAGACCAATTCTGGGATGGTCTGCCTTTCTCTGGAATGGTTTGGATAGGAGTTCTTGGGATTGTACCTACAGTAACCTAAAATGTAAACTTCAATGTGTGTAATTAGGCAGCGATTGGTTATGGCTGGTGAAGGCATGTTTCAGCGACCACGTTGTCAGAGGCAAAAAAGCAATGGATTTATAAGTAACAAGAGACTCTACGTAGCCTGTGCTCATGTGCATCCTCGAAATTCTTTTGTAACCAATGAAATAAATAGAATGCAAACAACAACAATTTATTAAGGTATTGCCATTTATATACATGGCATTACCTATTCTCTAAAAAAGTAAATAAGTGATTACTTGGTTAAGTTGCATTTGAAGTTGCATAATAGTGTTCACAATTCATAATTTCAAGAATAAAAACGGCAAATTATTACAAATAAATGGAACACAATTTTTGATTTTCCATCTAATTTGTTAAAAAATTGTATTTTTTAATGATTTCATCAAAATATTTGTTATGAAGCATTTCCTACAGAGTGCAAGAAAACATAACATCATATTCATTTTCCACTTCATTAGCTTGACATTAGAAACAAATTCTTAAGTGCTTGGTAGTCTTGGACACAGTATATCTCCTGTTTCAATACGAAGTCAATGATTTTCCTAGGCGAAATTTATTACTGGCCAATCTATGGAGAGGATTTTTGCAGACCACTGCATGCCAACGATTTCATCTTTAAATTTGTTATGATCGAAGTCTACGTTGTGTCAACAATGTGTTTCTGTATTATGTGACAATTTCTCTGTTAGCTGTATTTTAACTGTAAAACAATTGAGAGTACATGAGCTGAGGAATAACAGTAAGATGTAAATGACTAGTTTCCAATCATGAGCCATTTCTACTGTTACTTATATGAACGGAACAAAAACCAAAACATGGAAACTACTCGTCCAACGACTTCATCATAAAACATTTGCATTTTAACTTTATGCTTTATATCAATGGAGGAACAACAATGGTAAGATGAAAATGACTAGTCCAATGATTGTTCATCATGAGCTATTTTCAATGTTACTCTATATCAATGGAGGAACAACAAAGGTAAAATGGAAGTGATTAGTGTAAAAATTTTTCATCATGAGCCATTTCCATTGTTATTGTATATTAATCGAGGAACAACAACAGTAAAATGGAAGTAACTAGTCTAACGATTGTTCATATAACCAAACATTATGTTAGGGCAGGATGTTATTTATGTCGATACAATATGTCTTTGTGGTCTACTTGGTTGCTCTTCTGACTCACATCAATCTAACCTCTCTTTCAAGAGCCAATCATTTCTATCGCCCTAAGGGAGTGTTCGTATAGAGGAGCAAGCATTCCCACATTCGTGCCCTCTTGCTTTCACCACCACGGCAATTACATCTCTGCGACAAATTTTTTTTTTGTCAGGCAAGTCCTATTATATCTTACCATTTCTATAACATTTATCTCTGTAATCGACTTAGCGATTTTGCACCTGCCATTTTTTTTCTTTTCTCGTACATTCTATATTCAGTTTTTTGACATAAATTGAGATGGGTGAGCCTCGTGTGTTAATTCTCAGGCACTCTTTTATCCGCCGTTTAAATAGCTTTACTACTGGTAGTACACATCATCGTTTTATGATACACGAGGTCACCCAGTTTAATGGCATGGTGTGGGAGGTCGAACAGTTGAAAAAACTATTCGCTGTGATCTCTACGTGGCGGAGTCGTTTGCTCCCCATATTGTGATACTACAGTTGGGAACTAATGATCTTTCCCACCTGCCTTATTCTCCTTAATTTTCGCGGGACTTTAATTTCGCGAAAATTTTCTCGGCACATTTCGCAAGTCTTTAATTTCGTGATCGCGAAGAAAAATTGTGTTTGCAGGGAATTTAATTTCCCAAAATTGCAATTAAGTGACTACATTTTTTCTTTTTTACAAAAATTGTACGTTAATCAACGACGGTGCAGGCTTTAAGATGGCCAATTCTAATCAAGATTTCATCAAACCTTCATTTTTGTGTGGCCTTCGTGGATTCCATGTTTACAAACAAATTTGGAAGCCCATCGTCGGGGAGCTTTCAAGATGTTCTCACGAACGAAACAACATCTACGATCGTTACGCAATCGCAGCTAACAAACGGCTCCGGTTCATCTTTAAGTTACTGATGAAAAATATCGTCGATCCCCATTGATTCAGGGAGGTCTGGAAATTCCTCTTGAGGTGATACGTGAAATGCATGATACACCAAGGAACAGGGCAATAATGGAAAGATACAAGACACTCGTAACTACACACTACAAGGAGCCGGGACACAATGGTCAATTTGACGACTGTACAAAGGATGTATTGGAGGAACTCTGCGAAGATGATTATTCAGATGCCGAAGAATGATTAACAGCTAAAGTTGATAGATGATAGCTCCTTGTACTAACACTTTGTGTTAAAAATTGTTTAGGACCCTTGCAAACACAAATACATGATTTTTCTTTGTCCATTAAATTTCGCGAGATCAAAGTTCGCGGTCATTATTTTTCACGGGTCTTTAAGTTCGCGCATTTTTTAAAATCGCGAAAATCTTGAATTTAAGAACCCGCGAAAATTAAGGAGAATAAGGTGGATCCCTTAGTCGCAGCCTCGGCAATAGAGGACTTCGCAGGTATTCTGTACGAAGAGCGCAGTGTGCGACAAATTTGTGTTTGCCAAACGCTAATTCGCAAAAATGATGCTGCCTTTAACGCAGTGTCAAAGCCCTCACGAAATATCTGAAGGTCCTTCTAGAGCCAATTCCCTATTGGTTTCCTATTTACTTATCTGGTTTTTATTTCAAACCAAGCTGCGTGTGTTATCGCCTTGTGGTTTAGCTTGTTGTTCTGTTTGATTTCCGGCAATTATTTGCCGCATTTTGCTGACCACTTATGGCCAAATTTTGTGGTTTCTGAAACCTTAGAAGTGCACTGTGTGCCTTCCTATTACTAGCTTTGGTATGTATGTTTGTTTACTTGCAGTTACCATGAGTGTACAATCCATTTTGACCGCCTGCATATGTGGGTGTGCCCAATGCACTCGGTATATTGTCAATGCTCTAATGTTATTGTGTTGTGGAAATGGGTATCTTTTTTCGTTACTACTTATGAGGTATAAGCCTCACTATTTTTGCGTGTCAATTTTTACACTCGAGTCATTATGTAAATTCAAATACTGCTTTGGATCAGCTCCTCTGATGATCCCGTTTCCAATTTATTGGACATTAAAACTTATTTCTAACGCTTGTTTCACTGCCTATCACATCTATCACTTATAGCTAGGGTTTTATCTTTGAAAAATGCCTCCTGCGAAGTGTACCATCTCCCCACAAGCCAGGCGCTCAAAACGGCTACAGACAGACCTCTCTGAGGCCGGACCTTCATTGGTTGTGGAGAATCCTCCGATGCCTCAGCAGCAAACTGGACAAAGAGGAGAGATACAAGGAGGACAAGGAGTGATGCAGCTGGACGTGCGGGCTCTCACAAGTACCATTTCCGTAGCAGTTGCACAGGCCGTCAAGGATGCAATGACTGCACATCAAGCCACCGTCCCCAGTACAACGCCAACGCTAACGCCAACGCTAACACCGTCAGCCACAGTAGAGAGGTTGTACAAAACGAAGTCCTCTCATATACAACAGGTACAATTGAACAGGCACCCCTACCAGTATTGTTGGGGTTGGCGATCAGCCTAGCCACCCCTTTTCTAGCATAGCTGTTAATCTAGGTTCTCGTGTGACTGCTAAAATCAAAGCGAAAATCTGGGCAAATGAATATATTGACTTTGGCACTGCTCTCTGTCGTACCCCCTTGAGAAAAGTTTGCTCTTTCCATGGTTCCCAGTGGGGGTGCTGTAAGTCAACCACAGTTGCTGTCGTTGCGAAGTTTCCCGCCGTAGCGGCCTTGTCTGTGACGTGAAGAAGGCCATTTTGCCGTCACGTGTAAAACGTGAGTAAACTTGATCAAAATAATGCCATTTAAACCCATTTTGAGCGAAATTCTTTAGCACTGTTAACAGTTTATTCTCAGTAGACCATTTTTGTCGAACTTCAAAGCGACTTAAACGATTTGAACACGGTATTTGAATTACATTTGTTTGTGCTCTCTAAACAGTTTGACTCGTTAATCGCCATGGACATCGACAAAGAAAGCAACCCAGTAAGTTTTACAAGTTTTTTCTTGCGTTTATTGATGTGTTTATTAACAATTATGATATCGTAGACTTGTTTTGGCATTAAATTGAGGTCCAATGGATTGTCACTCATCTTTTCGTCAAGCCTCTCGAGGTCAAAATGTTCGTAATTCTGGTAGGGAAAATCCGGATTTTTAGATCTCTTGACATCATACAACAGTAAAAATTCATCTTCTGAAATAATGCCATCATCGAAACTTGTCAGTAACAATTCACAAACCTTTCTAAAAGTAGTCATCACTCTTGTCTTTATTTCGAAACTTCAACACGAAAAGGCGCTACAACAACCCGCCGTCGTGCGAGCTTTCTTAATGCTATTTTTTGCGCCATTGCGACGGCGACCTCACCCCAAGCCCCCTCGACCAAGTCTGCCGTCGTAGAATCTCGCCGTCGTCCGATCTTAAGCTCACTAATGAAATATTGCGAAGTGGTGCGTCACCTTGCTAATAAGACTCAATCTGCTGTTTTACACAACTTACAAAATTACTACAAATCTACAATAAAAAACCAGTAACCATAAAAACCATATTTTCAAATATGATTTTATGAGAAACAATCACAAATTAAGCCTTGTTTTGTCACCACTGTCACATTAACATCTACATCGTATATTTTTATCTTACTTAGAAAATTATTCAATAACAGCTCCCTTTTTGAATTTCACCTGCATTGTTGTCGTGGGGCGCACTCTTCTCTCCTGTTTGATTGATCTCATGAAACGCATTCAAAAGCCACATCACCATATTCTTCTCTCGAAGGGTGCCAAATCGGACATCTTAGTTTGGCCTCGTTTTTTGGAGGACTTAAATGGTAAATCATTTTTCTTAAATGATATATGGGAAACCTCACACACCCTTCGCCTTTATAGTGATGCAGCACGTTTAATTGGTTTTGGTGCAGTCTTTGGTTGTCATTTGCTACACGGTATTTGGCCAAAGATGTGGAAAACCTTCAACACAGCACTTTTAGAGCTTTTCCCCATTCTCCTTGCAGTTCATGTTTGGGGGTCCCTTATGACTGATAAGCGTATCATATTTTTCTCTGATAATGCAGCTGTTGTGGATATTGTAAATAAACAAACATCTAAACATAAAGATATCATGGCGCTTTTAAGAGATTTAGTGTTAAGTTGCCTTAGGTACAATATCCTTTTCCAAGCACATTATATCCCCAAATTACAAACCTCAAGTGCAGATAACCTTCCCGTTCTCAGGTAGTCAACTTCAAGGACATCTTATAGAAGCCAAGGAATCTCACTCAGATACCCGAGAACCTAATGCCGAAGAATTGGGTGCTAAAATGAGAACTCTTTTAAGTTCCTCTTAACAGCCAGCTCCAACGCTCGTATCAGCATGCGTGGATTATTTTTTGCCAATTATATCTTTAATTTTACGCTTCTGATGATCCTCCTCCGTGCCTCCCCTTGTTCATCTCTTATCTAACATTTCGTAAATTGCCTCTTTCAACGACTACTTCATATCTTTCAGCCATTTCCTACGTACACAAGTTGAGAGGGCTTCATGACCCCACAAAATCGTTTTTAATTCAAAAGCTATCAACGGCTCTCAGCCATCGACAGCCAGTTGACATTCATCTTCCAGTGACCTGTTTTACATGCACTGCTTCATCCACTTAGTTTCAATAATTCTTCAGCATTTCAGCGTTCTCTCTTTTCGGCACTTTTTCTCATGGCCTTCTACGGCTTATTTCGCACAGGTGAACTTACCCCAACAGCAATCGATTTGCGTCTTCTGTCGTTCAGTTCGGTAACCTGACCTTTTCATCACACAACGGTCATATGCATGTGGCGAAAATTACGATTTCTGAGTATAAGCATAACACAAGCCATCCCCTGTTTGACATCTTAATTGCCAGTGAAGTATCATCCACCTTTTGCCCCATTCTAGCCCTTATTCAATATTGCGAATTGCGGGGACCATCTCCTGGCCCCCTTTTTTGTCATGCTGATCAAAGTCCAATTTTAACTCACCAATTTAATATGGAACTACAGCGTTGTTTAGCTTATTGAGGGTTAGACACCAGTCGCTACAAGTCACAGTTTTCGTATTGGCGGCGCTTGTCATGCTGCTGATCAGGGTTACTCAGTTGCGCAAATCTGTGCTCTTGGCCGCTGGAAATCTGACACTTTTTAAGTCTACTTAAGGTCGGAGGTCCTCTCTAGGCACTGTAGTTCAGACGTGGGCTGCTATTGTGCTGTCATCATTCTGCCTTTCGCCATAGTTAATATAAGATTGAAAGCATCTCACTGGTGTGTGGCATGCCGCTTGAGTCAGTTAGACAATGGGCTATGACTCAGCACACATTGTCATTTGACCTTAAGCGTCAAATAAAAAAGCACGTAACAGACTGCCTAATAGTAGAAGAAGATATTCCTCATGTGACCTTGACTATGACACATACAAAGCCGTGTGGCGTTAGAAGCAAGGACAAGGAAAAGCAAGCAGGCAGAAACAACATGTGGTGCCTGATTGTCGTGTGTGGCACTGTTGCCATCTCATTAAATACTATGGAACTCATTACCTGACGGAGGTAACGTTCGGAGCACGATTCATGAAAAACCACAAAGTCAGCCAGACAAAATACGAAGAGCTCAGAAGCACAAAAATAAGTGTAGAGATGCAGGCGGCTATTCAGGGATAATCAGTGTTGGAGGGGGATTTTCGATCGATAAAGAGCAAAGATCTGTGGCTTCCAATTTTCAGAAGTCAGTGCAAACAAGTACCATCACCGTTGTAGCGGCCCCACACAGTAACGGCAATGCTTTGACGTGGGCGTCCTCTGTCCAGGAGAGTCCGGTTTCAATAAGTTACTCTTTGTTAGTCACTCACAATCTGTTTACTGAAAGATATTCTAAACATCTTTCTGAGGTTAACATAGACATTGCAAGAGAGAGGCTGATAAACGCATCCAAGATTTATTGCCAGGCTCTGAAAGACGAGGGACGGGTAGATTCGTGTGATGACAGCATTCATCTGGGAACTTTTGTGAACAGTGTTGGAATACTGCAGTTTGGTAATGTTGTTTAGGATTTTTTTTTTTTAAACAAAACATTGTTCTACAATTCAAAAGAAAAGGTCGAAACTATTGCATCATAACAAATTGATAATATCGCATATAAAATAGACCAATAAAAGGTATTCAGCAGCGCAGTTATGGTTTATGTCATGAACCCTTCGAGACAAAAACTACGTGTTTATGTTATTTCTGACGAATGAGCCCGCGAAGAAGACAGAAATAAATATTTTGACGGCACGAGATACAACAGGGCCTGGGTACTAGGCCGGGTGCACCATGGGTAGCCATATCGGGGGTATATAAGGCTGCGTATATCACGTGTACGTCATCTAGGCTTACGAACCACCCTCTCTTTGGTTTTTCTTTA